AAATTTCGGAAGTTTTGGCTAAAAAGGAAACCATAGGAGGTGAAGAAGAATTATTAAGTTTATTAAACGAGATTGAGGAATATAAAAGTTGAGGTGAAGTAGGTGCCGAAAGAAAAAAACAAAATGCTTTCGGAGTAATGAAGGAAAAAATTACTGAGACCGTTGGTGAAGTAGAAAAACAAATTAGAAATATTAGAGAAGCGAAAAGACGGGAAGCAGAAAATACCTTTATTGCTGATTTTGAATCTACGCTGAGAAAAAGCGACCGAAAAGGTATTGACGGTGATTATGATGATTGAGAAGTACCCCGTCCAAGCCGAGAAGAAATTTTAGCCTATAATATATTTCTTGATAATGATAATAAACTAATGAATGGAATAGTAATGGGTGTTCTTCACCTTTCAGGTTGGCAGTGTGATAGAAGCCAGATTGAGAATTTGACCCCTGCTGATGAAGGTGATGGGCATCTTACCTCTGACAAAGAACCAGCAGAGATTGCCGAGGGTTATCTTTACTACCATGATAACAGTTTTTGCGTTAATTACCGGGGCATTATAGAACATTCAGCGGTAAATTGAAGCAAAAAAGAATTAGATTTCTTAAACCAATTAGTTCACTTACGAAACGAAACCACCGGAGAAAAATTGCCGGGCAATTGAGAAACTTATCAAGATTGAAAAACCCGAGCAGAAAGGTTGAACGCCGAGCAAGTTCACGGAATTATTGGGCGAGGTTGGAAAAATGGAGACTTTGCGAGAAATAGCACTGCGGAAGGAGAATGATTAACTATTAATGAATATGAAGGCAAAAAATACAATGTTTTAACCGAGGAAAAAGGGGTAATGGAAGCCCGAATGGATGCCAAAAATAAAGAGGGAATTACGGAGGCAGAAAAAGCCATTTTCGACCATGCGGTATTAGATAGTGTAGAGGCAATTAATGCCGCCCAAGCACTTTTGACCAAAATTAAAGAGTATGCTAAGGATATTAAGGCGACCACTGCTAGCGAAGCCAAAGCAGCAATCGATTTTTTAGGTAATTATTATTACAATGGAGACAAAGACCCAACCAAAATTGAAGAAAAAGCCTGAGTAGCGGTCAATAGTGTAGGAAATTTAGCCACGAATGAGCGAAACCGATTAACTGAACTAGAAGATTTACATAAAGCACGAATTGAAGCAATAGAGAAAGATGCAGATGGAGGTGAGTGAGAATTATCTCCCAATGAGTTAAAATTATTTGCGTCCAGTTATGCTGATGAGGACGGAGAAAAAGTTCCCTTAGAAGGCCACCAGTTAGCCGAAATTAACACCGTTTACAGAGTCCGAGCCGTTCATAAAACCTTAACTCTGCTTCGCTCCTTTATTAATTTTTCGTTCGATGAATACACTAGTATCGAGAACCTTAAAGATTTAAGCAATTTAACTTTTAATATTATTGATGAGATAAAAAACAAGTTAGATGATGAATGTGCAGAGATAAAAATTGGAGAAGAATATGTTTTTGCTTTCGATCTGATTGATAAAATAGTAGATGGAAAAGTTAACCAATTGAATGAAGATGTTAGAAATTTATGAGAGTGATTTAGATTCTTCACCAAGCACCAAATTCTTGGAGAAAATGAAACTTTAAATAATGAAAATGCAATGGGTTGATATAACGATGTTGTTTTTGAAGGTAAAACGGGGGTGGCAGAAGCCGAATTAGTTTACCAAGAGGCTCTTAAAAATCCTTTATCTGGTTATCCTTACAGTTCAATTCAATTTACCCTAGAAGACAGAAATAAAATTTTCCATACGAAGACCAGAGCAGACATTCCTAAGGCTCAACAAGAAGTGTCCTGAGACCAGTTTTTCCGAGACAGGGAAATTATTAATGTCGCAGAACAAAATGCTTGAAAAGTAGACAGCGGTTTAAATGTGGCGGAGGCGATTATTGCTTATGATACAAACCACTGAACGCAATTAATTCATCATAACATTAATGAAATTGGAGATAAAAAAGCTAAGATTTCACCGCATGGCATTACTAGTGAAGAAGTTAGTTTAGTAGAACATGACTGAGAAGAAATGGTTAAGTTCCACAAAGTTTGGAGAGAAATTGAAAAGGCTAACAAATTTTCTGATTTACCTGAACTTGATAAAGAGAGTGTAAAATTGGAGTTTGACGAAACAAAAACAGTAAGAAATTGAGACTGAATAATTGCTGAGTTAAAGGAGAAAGATTTCCAATTTTACCAAAAGGGGTTCGAAGGCACTGAGGATGCTGATGCCAGTGGTCTTACCAGAATTGAGAAAGAGGATTGGTATGAAGCCGAAACCGGTCTAGCCAAAGACGGAGCCACCGAAAGAATTGCTTTCAACCATGGTTGGAAAGAACCTACCCAAATTAGGGAAGGTGAAACTGACTATAAGATTTATGACTTGGAGATAACTAGTGATATTATTGAACAAGAAACAATTAAAGTTAAAGTATTGGAAGTAGGAAAAGCAGAATTAGACCAAGTTAAAGACTTAATTGAATGAGTTAAAGACAATAAAGAGCTTGATTTTGACACCGAATTAACTGCCCAACTAGATAATTTGAATTATGCTAAATTGCCTGGGGGTTATAAAAGGACAGATTTAGAAAAGTTTGCAAATGATTGAAAAAATAGGTTACTTGATAATGATTTTATTGATGAGTTTATCGGTCAAGCAGGAGAAGCAAGAACTTTTGCGAATAATCCTGCTAATCGGGCAGCAGTTTTGGCTTATCGCAAGACCGGTGCCAGTTTTTTAACCGGAGCGGAAGCGGGTACTATTTATAATAAGGGTTGGAAAAATCCTGACTTAATTGAGATTAGTGAGTTGGGGTGGATTATTGTTCGCCATGACGGAGAAATATTTCATCCTTTGGAAACTTCATTAGATCAAGCCGAAAAAGAACTTTGAATTACTGATTTTGGAAGGAGAAGCATCACCCGGACTTTCACAGATGAGGACGAAATATGGGCTTATAGCAAAAATGGGAAGGTTTCGGTAAATATCGCTTTCCAAGTGTTCCAAAATCATTGGTTGGCTGATGAGTTTAATTTCGATTCCTCTAATAGAGCACTTATTCCCTCATATAGTAGTTATGGCGAACCCGCCGACCGAAATTTAGACGCTACCCTAACTGATAAACAGCAGTTAGATAAGATAAATGAGATAATTAAGAGAATAAAAACTGCTTCGCGAAGCACCGATTTACCAACCGAAGAGGAAATTAATGACTATGATGATAGCAAAGTGGTAAATATTTCAGGGAAGCGGATTAAACCCCGTGCGATTGTTAAGGCTAGGCGGCAAGAAGCCAAAACTCGTTTAGAACAAAACGAAGCCAATAAACTAGCTCGCACCGCTGCTATTCAAGCCATTCAACGATATTGAAATTCACTAAGTATGAGCGGCGATATTAAAAGGGTTTGTGGGAATGATTGAGAAAACAATTTCAACCGCAAGAGTGGAACGGAAATTTCTGATTATGCTAACCAACTAAAAGACCAAATTGCCCATGCCAAAGTTCAACCGGATATTAATGAGATAACTAATAAACTTAATGCCAGTCCCGCCGTTAGTCTGAACCTAAATTATGTTGCTGAAATGATAAATTTAGCGGACAAAGATACCGACCGAGCCCGCAAAAAAGCGGAAATAATGACCCAAATTGAACACTTGCGACAAGCGAAAATTGCCCAACTCGAAACTGAAAGGAAACAGCAAGAAGAGGCTGAAAAGCAACGCCAAGCAGAGGAAGCCAAACAGCAAAAAATCTCGCAACTTAAAACCCTTATCACTTCCGCTAAGGCAATTTTAGAAAAAATGGGAGCCAGCCAAGCCGAAGTGGAGCAAGCCATTAGTAGTTTAAAAACTTTAACTACGGCAACCAGTGATAGTGTGGAAACCCAAGTTTGAACCGAAAATAAAACTGTGAATGAAAAATTATTGGCTGATTTGAATACTAAACTAGTGAGGTTTGACTTGCCACCTCCTCCAACACCGGCACCGGAACAACCTAAACCCACTCCGCCGCCTTTCCCAGTTAATGAAAATTGGCGTTCACTAGTGGAGGAAGTACAACAAACCCTTCAAGCCGAACAGCAAGCAACTAAAACTGAGGTTCAAACTGATTTGCAGGCTGCTCAATCTCCTCAGGCTACCGTAGCCGACCAAGTTAAAGCCATTAAAAACTTAGGTAAAATTGATGGTGAGGAAGATTTGGCGGAAGAAAAAACTCAACTAGAAAGTGTGGCTGAAACATTATTCATCCAAGACCGATTGGAATGCCTAAAAGGATTTATCGGAGCGATTGAAGAAAACTTGAAAAAAAATAACCTGACAACAGAGGAATTAACTGATAAAACAAATCAAGATATAAAAGATATAAAAGATATAAAAGATAAGTTAGAGGTCATTCATCAATCGGTTGGGAACACCGGAGTTAAAAAGCAGTTAACCGAATTAGAAGAAAAAGTGGTTCAAGTAGTGAAAACTGGCGAAAAAGAACAAATTGAAAAGTTAAAAAAAGAAATCTTAACTTTTGCTTGTAGTAATAATGTTTATAAAAAAGCCCATCGCGAACGAGCTCAATCCTTACTGATTCAGTTAGAAAACAGCACTCAAACTCAATCCTCCCAAAAATTTCCGTTTGAATGAGTGATTGGAATCGGAATATCAGTAATAATATTAGTTGGTTTGACATTTGTTTTGGTAAAGAAAGCCAAAAAAACTAGAACTTTGATTTAAATAAATCTCTAGAGCATCTTTAATTTTACAATTATGTGTATAACGAGAAAAAAGAAAACTATAAACTAATTTGATGGTGATGATTAGATGAGCGAGATTCTGTTCTTTATGTTAAAAATTGTCATCCCTGTTAAATCAACCATGAATAAAACTAACAAATTTATTAACAAAGTAACTTTTAGTTCCGAAGAGGAAGAACTTTTCCGTCGTTTAGAAGAAGATGACTCACTCGGCACTTGCGTAGTTAATCCCCATGCTACTCCCTTAGAAAAAGCAAAATACAACATTTGCCAAACCATCGTTCGCTATCAAATGAGAAATGATCTTTCCGAAAAAGAGGTAGCAGAAAGACTAGAGTTAGATGAGCAAACTACTAGCAAAATTTTAAGGTGTCGTATTAAAGATTTTGATTTAAATGAACTAACCATTTGTCTAGGAAAGATATACTCTTCAGGATTGATGAATAATAAAGGAGAATTTGCTTCCATTCCTCCTTTTATTGAGTTAGCGGGAGGAGAAAAAGTGGTGCTGAGTGAAAAAACCATCAAAGAAATTGAAAAATTAAAAATTTTATCTAAGTTGAAGAGGTTGATGAACGACTGAAAAGAAATATATATGAGAGATAGAGAAGTAAATCCTAGAAACATTAGCGAAGTGGTTGAGGGAGCTAGAGAAATTGTAAATTGTTTAGAAAATTTAGAGAAAATGTGTAATCCCATGGAAGAAAGTTCAGATGTTGGATTACTAGAGTGAATTAGAGAAAAACTATCTCAATACAAAGCGATGGTCTTTAGGGGAGAAATAGTGTGAAAAAAATTAGAATCATTTAACACTGAGTTATTAATGGCACGGATAGATAATGAAAAAGGTAAAGGGCACTTATTCATTATTTTTGAAAGAACTAATGAACTATCCCAAGTTCAAGAGCAGTTCTTGCTTTGAGAAAAAATTTCTTGCCTATTAGTTAATTCTACTAGTGAAAAAGGCGAATGCGATATTCTTAGCCTTTTTGAGGCTTTATGAGAAGTCGCTAGTTCTTCTTTCATACCTTTCACCTACATTTTTGTTCCTAAGGGGGAAGAAAGTTTGGCAAGAAAATTAATATTTGATTCCTTAGGAGACTTAACTGCCGAACAATTAAAGAAAATACATTTTTTGAAAAGAGAAAAAACAGAGAAAGAACGTTCTTTTGGTTTTAAGGTAGAAAAAAATATTACTTCTCCAAACTTTTTCTTCACTGACCCTTCTTATCAGGAAGTTACAATGCCAATACTTGCAGGATAATGAACAAGTTCCCTAATTTTGCCAAAAAATATTATTACTGGTGATTTCTTGAATTTAAAAAAGAGATAGTTGGATAAAATTAATCAAAAACGAGCAAGGATTTTGCAATTTGTAATATTTTAGGTTTGATGGATTGTTACCGAATGAGGAAATATGATAGAAAAAAATAATTTTAAAAAAATTAGAACAGAGGTTTGAAGAAAATAATTGTAAAAATACTGAGCAAAAGCCAAAAACCGATAAAAATTTCCCAACCGGTTGAGTCGATTGGTGGAATAGTTTTATTAGTAATAGGAGGGTTAACTGCCTGGTTGATAGCAAGAAAATTAAAGAGTAAAAAAATTAGGGGAGTTTAATACTCTCCCTAATAACTTGAAACTAAATTTTTTAAATTATTAGAAAAAATTTAATAACCATTATTCTAATTGGCGTTTTTCTTTACGGCTATTATTAAACCTATTCATTATTCTTTCAAAGTTATTTTCTCTTATTCATGCTAATAAACTATCAATTAAATCAGGCATAATTTTTTTGATTGCCTCTTTTTCTGACCGCGAAAAGTTTTTTAGAACTCAATCTCGTTTAATAAACTTAATAATTCTTCTTCACCTCCTATGGTTTCCTTTTTAGCCAAAACTTCCGAAATTT